ATGTGTGTGTACATAAATATGTAGTAAACAGGTATTTTGGAGCCATCAAACATCTAACAGCGCCAGCAAACTCCCCAATGCAACATCGAACCAAACAACGAACCACTTTTGGCGACTTCGCCACCGCGAGCATCGTTTGCCTTTAGTGCAGCGTGCGAGCATTTTTCTCCACTAGTTTCGTGCCGGTTTTTATGCCGTTTGGACGTGTTTGTGCTGCAGTTTGAAAGTGAAGCGGAAACGTGTCGGTTGAAAAATTTTCGTATAAAAATTTCATTTAACAGCCGCAAAGTGTCTAATGGCGAAGCGTGTATTTAGCAAGTAGAGCGCGCGCAGGTGAAAATTACCTATGAAAACTGCGAAAATAGTTTAAAGTGTTCAGGAAATATTAGAGAATAATTAACAAGTGTGTTGTTATAAATGTGAATGAATTGATTGAACCATTGTGTGCGAGAAAAATTAACAGCGATTGCTTTGCAGCACAACGAATCAATCAAACAAAGAAAATGCGTACAAATAGTGCGCCTTGAAGGAAAAAAAAAATTAATTCTAACAGCGTGCATTTCGGTTAACTTCTTTTCGTTTCCTCGCCAGCACTTTTCCTCGTGATTTCTGATATTTTTGAGAGAATTGTGTTTCCTTCATTTCCTACTTCGTTTTTTTTTTTCGTTGGGTGCAATTCGTTTGCTTTTGTGTGATTTTTCGACTCTGCTATTTATGCCGGTGCGTCGCAGTCGCAGCAGCCAAGAACAGGTAGAGTTAATGCAGCGCAACGGAACGGATGCTACCTGCTGGTAGTGGTTGCCCATTCTTTCGATTATCGAGTGACGAATAACTACGAGTGACGTCTCTGATTTAAGTGCAACGCTAGCGAGGGAGGTGCTTGCGTTTTTGTGTGCATATTAAAATTGAAAAATGAGGTGAGCGAGTAGCAGCAAATATTGCAAGTGCAGCGTTCATCTTCTCGAGTGCAAAAATAGTTGGTATAAGCAAAGAAAGTCAAAAACGTAGTTGAAGAAGAACAAGCGAGAAGAGCATAAAGTGGAAATTGCAGTGCGGTTTGTGAAAAGTAGTAAAGAAATAAGCAAAACAAAATATAAACCGGAAAAAGGAGTTTTCAGTCGGAACTGCATAGAAAAACAAAAACAAGCAACACGTTGCAAACGAGCTGCTGTTGTGGCCATTAAACGAGTGTATGCAGCATTGAAGCAGAGAAAAATAAATCAATGTAAGTGACTATGAATTTTTTATAAAACGTTTCCATTAAAACAATTTTATAGATTAGTAAACTGCAAAAAAAATTAAATAGTTTTAAAATAAACTTTCTCACTGCGCATGAATTTTTTGCTGTTAAGTAATGTATGAAGAAGACTTCTATGGTGTTTCAAAAGCGTAAAATTGTAGGCAGTGCTTTCCTAGCCACCTCATCGTTTCTTCTGTACCTATGTATAAATTTTTCCGCTCAACCAAGTCAAATTTTTAGTTAATTATTAACGTAACCACTCAAGCCTTTCCGGCCTGTAGTTCGAAATCATAAAATATTTATAAAAATTTAAAAACAATTTTTTCAAGTTTGTCTAAAATTAAATAATCTTATAAAGCTTTAAAAATTCGAAATCTTTTGCTTAAATTAATAGATGAAGCAAATAAGAATATAAAATTGCAATAAAAAAATAAGATACATATGCATTTCTAGACTTATATACCAGAAACATTTTAGACGAGATTTAAAGAATTAAAAAAATGCATGTTTAAAGTCTAAAATTTTCGCTAAAAACAATAAGTGAAGTAAACAATAAAGATTTTTTCAGATTTTTTTCTAAACAAGATAAGGGCAGATGAATACCCATGGTGCCTATCTCACAAAAATTTTCAAATAAAAACCTTTTCAGAGAATTGTTAAATTTTCACAGTAATCTCTCTACAAAATATTCTAAAAACGGCGGAATTTCGTATCAAACGGCTGCAGCTTCGATTGAAAGAGCCTTGGCCAATAATTTGGGAGCATTAGGATGATCTAGAAATGTGTTACAAAAAAGTTTTCGAAAAATAATAAATACAATTTTTTCGCCAAATGCCTTAAAAAATACCAAAACCAGAAACATAATAAGAAGAAAATCTGAAAAGAAAAGTGCTAAAATTTATTTCCGAAGTTAAGTGTTATTTCAAAAGGCAGCGATTTATTTTTGTCTTGTTATAACAAACTTACAAATTTGTAGAAGTTTATGAAATTTTCCAAAAACTTACAAAATAAAAATCTCATAAAACATCTAGCAAAAGGAACGCTGGGTTATATTTTAAAATTATAAAACTTCACGACAGAATGCGTTGACAAAAAAATTTAACATTAAGGACGGTAAGATAATCTCGAAAGTGGGAGAAAATTGTAAAACTCGAAAAATAGGAATCCCCATTTTGTTAGAAAAATCTCAAAGGGATAAAAGCCATTTTTATTTAAACTTTTTTATAAACAAAAAATAAATAAATGGCAGAACTCCATTCCTTTAGTTGAAAGTTGCCTTTACTCCAAGATGTAAGATTTGGGAATTTGAATGCTGTATGTCATAATTTTCATTGACTTATTTCACCTCCATATAAGGTACCTCTCTGAACTTGGCAGGACAACTTTTTCTCAAAGCAAAAATTCCTATCGCATAATTTGCCGTTAATTATCCGTAAATTATCCGTGAAAAGAATAATTTTGCCGCGGACATATTTTAAAAAATATCGAGTGCCCTGCTAACTTCCGTGGAAGTTAGCAGGGCACCTTCTGAAAACCAATGAAGGAAACCAGCTAAACCCAAACTAACTATCTGATAATTTGCCGTAAATTATCCGTTGTTTATCCGTGAAAAGAATTATCTTGCCGCGGAAACATTTTAAAAAATATCGCGTGCCCTGCTAACTTCCGTGGAAGTTAGCAGGGCACCTTCTGAAAACCAATAAAGGAAACCAGCTAAACCCAAACTAACTATCTGATAATTTGCCGTAAATTATCCGTTGTTTATCCGTGAAAAGAATTATTTTGCCGCGGAAACATTTTAAAAAATATCGCGTGCCCTGCTAACTTCCACGGAAGTTAGCAGGGCACCATCTGACAACCAATTAAGGAAACCAGCTAAACGCAAACTAACTATTTGATAATTTGCCGTAAGTTATCCGTAGTTTATCCGTGGGACTAAACATTTTTTGGCAGGCGCGTCTTTAAAAATATCGCTTTTACTCCCCACTGCAGTGAAACTTAGCAGGACACCTTCAAAAAACCAATCAAGGCAAGCAGCTAAATTAGTGATCATAATTAAGTATGTAAAAGAACACTCTACTAAATATTTTACGCAGAAGTCTAATTAGCCCTTTGTAAAGAAATTGGAGTTTCAGTTCGAACTCATTTGTTTTTACTTTTTATTTTATTTTTTTTTTGCTCTATTTTAGTTTAACATAAAATATTAATTTTGGTTTAATAGACACTGTGTTGGGCTTCGCATCGAGAAATAGAAAATATATACATAAATATATACATTAGGGTGGTCCGAAAATGCATGTGAAAAAGTAAAGTTGAATTTTTAGGCTCTCCCCCGTATGATTTATACCGAAAAATATACCCTTATTTTTTATTTTGAAATCAAAAAATATTTAGAGGTCGCTCAAAGCGCCCAAAGTTTTTCATGTATTTTATATGGGGAAAAACAACTTTTCGTAGAAATGGTATAGAATAGTTAAAAATCAATATTTCTCTACCAGAAAACTCTGTTTATCTGCAGGATATTCCCAATAATAATACCCAATTATTTATTTAACTATTTTTTCCATCACAACTACAATTTATAGGTCCGCCAGAAACCCACAAAAACCCCGAAAAATGCATTGGGGCGACCAATCAAAAATCGATAGTATTATAATATACTATATATAGAAACAATTAGGTATTATTATTGAAAATATCCTGAAGAGAATCAGAGTTTTCCGATCTAAAAATATTGATTTTCAAGAATTCTATACCATTACTAAAAAAAATTGTATTTTTCCCATATAAATATACATGGAAATCTTTGAGCGCCTTGAGCGACCTCTAAATATTTTTTGATTTCAAAATAAAAAATAGGGGTATACTTTTTTCAATATAGAACAATCCTAGGAGGTGAGATCATTACAATTACGACTTTACTCTTTTTGGACCACCCTAATGTACATATGTATAAATAAATTTAAAAAACGAATTGGCTTATTCATAGAAAAATAGAGTAGAGTAAAACTGCTTTATAGAGTGCCATTTGCATAAGACTATTATAGAAAAATTTTGGGTAAGCAGATTTGTGGCCCATTAGATTTGAGTATACTAAAGTGCAGGTTACAAGTGGCTGCAAAATACCGTTGAGTTTTGGCATTTTTTTGCAACTTAATTTTATTATACTAAAATTCAAAGGTCTACAAAACTGCCTACCCGGAATTTGTTAGAATATTATTAACTTATTCATTGCTTTCTTTGTTTAATATTTTTATTAATTTGTATAAAATGTAAAACTTTGATTTTCGTTGTACAATATGCTATATTTTTATAAAAATTTACTGAGCATTAAGTAAACGAAAGGAAAACTATAAATATTGACGGGGAGTGTACTGTTTAAATTACTTTAAATTATAAAATATTTTTGTATACAAGAAAACAATTTTCAAAGCATGTCAATTAATTT